GAGAGAGAGAGAGAGAGAGAGAGAGAGAGAGAGAGAGAGAGAGAGAGAGAGAGAGAGGGAGGGAGAATGAAGAAGAAGAATATTTTGAATGTCATCTTCCCCTCATCTCGCTTCCATATCATCACCCCTACAACTCCTTCTCTCCTCTTATTGCTCATCAATAACGAGCAATACATGACTGACCCAAGAATCGACGTCCGGTGGATCTCGCTACCAAATGCTCTAAAGTAGGAAATACTAGGAACTCCCTTCAGCTCTTTTCTCCCAAAACTCTCTCCTTCGCCACGCTACTATCTCCAGCATTTCCACCACCCACTCCAGCTGTATATACAGAAGACAACACGAAAGAAAATCCTCCCCTCTCCTGTGGAGCATCCTCGTCAAAGTTTTGGGGGAACTCTCCGCGCAAACAGTCCAAAGGGGGTCTTCTTGTTGTTGCACCACACATGGGGATGAAGATGGCAGTCCACCATAGCTACAGGCGGTTCTCCTACTCTTACTCCTCTTGGTCAGCTGAGGTCCTCCTTTTCCCCCTATACATCAGACTACATGCCCAATGTGGGCACTAACATCGATCTCCATAGCTAAGCCATTCTTCGCCAACCTCTCTCTCTCCATGGCCATAGAGGTAATCTCCCTCATGTTGAGGATCCCTCTTGACTCCCTACTGGCCCAGCAGAATGGACGGCCTTGCTCCACTACACAACTCTATATGTATCTTGGTCTCGCAATGGTCCTGATGCTCTTAAAATGTTGGACTCATCCGAATGCACCGGTGTATGTTCAATGTTGAGCACTGGAACAGGGCCCAATGACTGCCAGGGAAGTAAGTAACTGAACCGGCACAACAAGTGGCACACTTGCTAACACACAAGAAGTTCAAGATCAACTCACTAGGAATCGAACCTATGACCTGTCACCAAAGAGGTGGATCACTTAACCTATAGGTTAAAAAGTGATACACTGTCCTGGCCGGAAAGTCCGGTGGCCAAGCTCTCCCTTCAATGGTTGCTCTAGAGTCCAGACCTAATGGTGGTTGCTCTAGAGTCCAGACCTAATGGTGGTTGCTCTAGAGTCCAGGCCTTACCCGCCTCGCCTCCAGGGCTACCAGCCCTCTGTAATCGCAGGAAAAGTCACCTTGCAGGCTGCAATCTCCCTTGGGATCGGACGTATGTAGCCTCAAACCAGTCTACATTCGGAACGATACCATCATTGCAGTTTTACCTATATGTCCGTGTCCTTCTTACTTCTGTGCTGTATGCGCGTACCGTATACCAAGTGGTCAGTTCTATCCCTCGAGGCTCCCAAATTGCAGGCAAACCCCTGCTGTGGAGCTCAAATTCAGTAGCGGCCCTCAGGTAAACATTCTGGTCCAGAGATCCATGAAATTTAAAGATTTACGAATTTGGCCCTACTGAAATCTATGCACAAGTCTTTGTAGCCAACTTACCAAGTTACCCCTCCAAGTTCCACATTTCCAGGCGAGTCCTTCAGCGAGGCTCAGATCACAGCACCAACAAACGGGTGAGTATAGCAGGCAGTTGACCAGACCTTGCAGCGAGTCCTTCTTACACGTAGTAGGGGATGGTTTACAATTTCTCAGCCCTTGGCATGCTCAGTAAAAACTCTCAGAGTTTCTTAGGCGAAGCCGGGTAATGGCCCGGTAACTATCTGATTTTCCCAAGTTCTTTGAAGTCATAAGGGACCCTGGGGCCGGTTCCCAGTACGTGAAGCTCCTCACGAATAGATTGGAGCAATTTTCCCTTTTAGAAAACAAAAACAAAAAGCCAGTTGAGCAGCCTAAACATACGGGAATAGACATAGGTTTATCAGAGATGAGCCATTCGAAAAGGAAATCTCAGAAATGTATGTCCACACCCAGGCAGACCTCGATTAGCACTAGCACTTTCCTGTATGTATCTGACATGCTCAGTAAAAACTCAAGGCATGCTCACAGCAGCACTTGCCTATATGTATCTCACAGCAGTTTACCGAGTGCGAGTACGCCCTCAGTCTTCTCACACTGAAAACTGTGCTGGTAATTGCACAACACAAGAAAAATTCAAAATCAAACAAATGTACAGAGTACTACAAACAAACGAAAAACAAACCACTGCCCAAGTGGACTTAAGGGCCTCGCCGCACCACTGTCGAAACGTAAAACGTTCAAAATTCAAATGCATGTTCCCATAGAAAATGGCAAGATGCATCCTTTCCTATGAATAGAAACAGATGCATCTGGCCACTTTTTGGGGACGATGCACTGGTGCTTTTTTCGTTTCGACAGCGGTGTGGCGAGACCCTAAATTCTGAAGTTCTCAACATTCATTGCACAATCGAGGCAATATAGTTCAGATGAGAGTCGCCGCTGGATGAACCATTGTCAGACCGGCAGGCTTGTAGACTTAAGGGTCTCACCACGCAGCCATCAAAACCGAAAAAGTACAAGACTTAGTGCATCTTCCAGAGAAAGATGCATCCATTACCACTTCCGGGCCTTCCGGCAGAGGATGCACTTGTACTTTTAAAGTCTTTTTTGTTTCCGCAGTGGTGTTGCGAGGCCCTAAATCCTGAGCAAACGGTTCACCCACCAATGAACTGCGATGTGACACTTTGTTGCCCCGATCTTACCACAATGTATGCACTTCCTTTGTTACTTCATAATTTGACTCATCTGATTCCAGTGGAGTTCAAACACAGGTCTGCATTTCAAGAGTTCAGGTGTGTACCAACTGAGCTGTTGCAGCTCAGTTGGTACCATTCCTTTGTTCCTTGCAGGTACAAATAGTAAATCAGAACTAATATAATACATGTGTGCGACGCTTGCTGTCAGCAAATAGTGCACATGGTTCTAGCCTCTAGGTCACAAGTTCAAACCCGTTTGAATACAAGCTAACCATGCAAAAGGTGGCCCATTGGGTGGGGACAAGGAAGGGCAGAACATCATCGCCTTCGGAGTTGGATTTGACTGAGGGATGAGTAGCTGCTGACAGCAATCATCATCTTCATAGGCTTCCCCTGATCGAGGAACAGAGGGACGACCAAATGAGTTGGAACTCGGGGTTAAATAATAGGGGGAATGGGTTAAATTATAACTTAAATATGTGATGCTGGGGGTGTGGGTGACATATTGGAGTACCATCGCACCTTGAAGTGTCTTGTCCTTATCTCCCCCTCTGCTCCCTCCAAGACCTGCAACAATTGATAGCAAAAATAATTTAAACACACACCCATCTCTAGTGCCAGCTGCATCTCCGGAGGGTATTTTCTGGCCGTCACCGACCTTTTCTCTGTTTCGTGGGGGGTTCATGGCCTTATGTGGGGTGTGAACCTGCAGTCTGCAGAGTCTTCACTCTGCTGTGGACGAGTTGAGAAAGGGTACAACAAATACAGCCACCAATTCCTTTGGTGGCCAATAAAACTTTTTAACAATTGCAGAAGGGATTCTTCATCCAAAAAGCACCAACTCCCTGTCCCATCTTGACCCTCATAAGCAAAGCTCATGCCGCTTCCCACTGCCAACTGCAGTGGCAGATTTTACATTACACCCATGTCTCCCCACACCAGACTGGCCATGGTCTTCCCCCGAACACAACTCGAGCGGCGTTTTGAATTCGCATGGTAGGATCATGTCGCAATGTCCCTTCCCACCACCATGGCTGCACCAACGTGCTAATTCCACCCACAACAATCCATGGTACCTAGGCTTACCGTCTTCACCTAAATAGAACGCCCGGTCATTATGGCTGTATGTGGACTGAGAGTTGGCCCAAATACGGCGATAATGACCGGGCGTTCTATTCGGGTGAAGACGGCAGTGCTGTCCCCCTCCAGCATCACCACCACAGTAGGCCTAGGCCAGACCAGAAGGCCTCTACATGTCACCATCGATTCAGAGATTTATTTAAGTATTAGAAGAGGATTGTCCTTACCACAAACGGGCCCAGCTCAGTTGGTACACCGATCAACTGTTGAAACTTGACATACAGACCTGAGGGGACCTAGATGAGTAATTACCTGGGGGCAGTGATATCTCAAGGCTCTTGCCCTTTCTTGAAGAAAAAAAAGGTGAAGCTTACCAGCATTGTTTATTCCTGGCCAGAGATTAAGAGATCAATGGCCAGAAAGAACGAGTGTCTGCCGGTCGAATAGGAACTGGACTGATGCTCTCCAGGGGCCTGGACCCACTAGCGAAGTATTCTACGATGTGTGACGCAATTTTATGTTTTTTTGGAAAATACAAAGTGATTTTTTATTTGCATGAATGGATCGTTTTCTGATTTAAAATGAATTGATATAGCACATAAAAGTATGAAGAACAGCTGTGCACCCGAATTCATGGGTTGGTACGATCTCCTTCACGTAAGTCTTCATAGTGATGTACCGTGGCAATAAAATGTGTCCACGAACACAGCCACGAGGATGAACAAGTAATTATAGGGATACATTCATCCCCATGTATCTCATGATGCCTCTAACAGGCCATCCAACAGACGTGGAAGCGTTCCTGTCAGATCCACCACGGTATCTAATTTCACATTTCAAGTTCTATTTCTCAGAGCCAAAAAAAAAAACGAAGTCTGGAAAATTGGAAATCAACCCCCCCCTTTTAGAGCCCATAAAATCCAGACTTCCCGCCCACGCAAAGCCATGAGCTATCATGTCCAAGTTAGTCCAAATTTGTTTTGTTTTTTTTTCCGACGCATCTCATTGGACGGGAGGTGGGCATCTTTACAGTCCCCGCTCGGAAACTACCAGGCCGTCGAGATCCGATCTATTCGACGGCTGTACTGTGTCACTCGAGGCCACACGTGATCGAAATCCTGAACGAAGTGGTAGAATACTTCGCTAATGGGTCCAGGCCCCAGAATGGATATGAAGCCAGGGCCATGATGACCTGTCTTTAATAATTAAAAAAAAAAAAAAGGAACTTGCCCCCACCCCCCTTTCAAAGAAAACTCTAGTAACACCTGACGAGTCTTTTTTTTCGAAAAAAAAAAAAATCAATTTACAAAAATCAAAGAAAACTTCTTTTGGAAGTTTCTTGTTGTATTTTCCCCTCTCTTTTCCCCTAAGCTGTGCACCTGCTTGGCATTCACCCCCCTCCTCACTTTGTCCTTCGCTCTTTCCCTCTGCCCCCCCATCGCAGTGATCGCACATACGGAAAACAGATCCTTCAAGTTCATGAATGATGAAAGGATGCGGACCACCCTCGATGTGGTGTTTCTTTCGGGGCGGGGCGGGGGGGGGGGGGGGGGCGGGGCGGGGGGGAGGGGATAAGGAGGACGGGTCTTACCTTCAAGGAGCTTCCATTAATCACATGGACCACAGCATCACTTCCGTCCAACTTTTCTTCTGCCAACAAGGGGCGAACCCTCACTGCGACGCGGATGTTGCTGAACTTGGATTGGGCGTCCAGCTCACCATGAACATTCCTTGAAATTGCCGGCATTTTGATCATCTTTGCCTGTTCAAGGACTTTGCCTGTTCAATGGATGACAAACCGCCGTCAGATGTTAGTAGGGTGAAGGGACGGTGGAGCTGGTTTCCAGCACGTGATGGTCCCCACGAATGGTTTGGACGGGTTTACCCAAAAAAAAAAGGGAAAAGGGGTAAAAAATAACTGTTCATTTCATTGATGCTATTTTTAGTAAACCAGGGGTCTGGTCCCACCTACCGTTGTTGAGTTTAGAAAACTTAACGGTGTGATGCCATTTCGACATTAATAAATTTGAAACAAGAAATAAAAAAAACTGAAAAAAGTGCTAGAAGCAGCTTTTCTCCTTATTTTTGATAACGTAACTCGGAGAAATGAAACATGTCTGGAACAGTCGGAGTGGATGTCTCCATGAAAAAGGGATACTCCCCGTGGTGAGGGGACAGGAGGTCACCATTTGTAAAATGGACAGGGACAACGTGCATGGCCAAATGCATTCATTGCCCAAAGAAGGAAACGAGAGAGCCATACGCAGCTGTCAGAGTTCTGTCAGAGTTCCTCCGTTTCAGGATGTAATGATGTCTAAAAAACCAAAAAAAAGGAAAGGCACTGCTGTTGAGATATGTACCCTACCATCGGTAGGGTAGTTTTCTCAATGGAAAATGGTTTCCCGCCCAAACCAAAAGGCCCAAAGCATACTACAAAACGGATTTCACGTCAACGAAAAATTCTACAAAAAGACAAAATCTAATAGGTTATTCTCCTGTATTTTGGTACCATTAGATCGCAATACATCAACGGCAGAGCTCCGTCCCACCATTCCGCATGTGATAGAAAGCTCAGCGTTGAGTTTTAGCGTTGAGAAAACTCAACGCTGTAGGTGGGACCAGACCCCAGACATGGTCAACATTTTTTTGATATGAAATGAAAAAAAAAAAAAAATGAAATCCTTCTGTGTAGGAGAGTTGAGAGAAGTAGGTTAGATGTACTATAATAGAGAGGGTTGGAGGAGGAGATGATCATGAGTAGAGGGCAGAGGTTACACAGCAGGGGGGGCGGGCGAGGGGGAACAGGGGGAACAATGACAGAAAAATCTAAAAATATAGAACAACAAAACAATAAAACAGTGATAGGAGCTAGCCCAGTAGGTTACAGTGCAGGACTCTCACCCAGCAGACACTGGGATCGAATCGCATGTGCCAAAAAAAATAAAAATAAAAAAAATAAAAATAAAAAAAATAAAAATAACAAAATAACAAAATAAAAAAACAATAAAACACACAAAACACACACACACACGCACAATAAAACACAGGATGAAGTAGGATATAGGTATGGAGACATAGGATGGACTATAATAGATGGAATTGCGAGGATCCGGGTCCTCGGCAGGCCTAAGGGGGGCCCTGTTGCATCTGCACCTGCCCTAAGTGAACGCGGGCCTAACAAATCACAAGAATCCCTCGGCTGTCAATTTCGTATTTGGGGTCCAGGCAGTTTCGTCGCGCCAGTTGGTTGAGGAAAACACAGGCCAAGCAGCGAGAAAATGCCACGGCCTTCTAGGCTTCCCGAAATGCGCAGGCCCAGGGCGAGATTGGGAGCCTCATACACAGACAGTTGGGAGGTCCAACCGCATGAGGCCCAGTAGCTGCACCAGGGTCGCAGCATCCTGGGGCCTACCGGAAGCTTCTGGGCCCAGGCCCAGGCCAGCCAGGCTACGAAGCAGGCAGGCTCCTTCCATATAGGAAAGAGCTCGCTGCCTGGCAGGTCATTCAGGCACTGGCATGCTAGCGGCAGCGCTGCTGGAGCGGACGCATGTGGGCTGCTGCTGGCGCTGAGAGGCGAGGTGCAAGCGTGTGCGGTTGTGCAGGGAGCAGGGCGCTGCTGAGGGCAGCGCCATAGCCCAACCTCTATAGCTGGTTGGGCTTCGACTACAGTGAGGCGCAGGGGTGGTCTTCGGGTGTACAGAGGGAAGACGTGGGAGTAAGTCAGGGGAGAGAGAGAAGGATGATGATGATGATGATGTGAGGGCACATACCTGGTATTGGCGATGGTCGCCATCGGGCGACATCTTCAAGTACTTCGTGGGCTGCTGACGTCAACAGTTGCATTGTCAATTAGTAGGCAGACTGTAGCTGTGTAGGAAGCCTGGACATTCATGTTGGTGGTGGCGAGAGCAAGCTCTCATTGTCATTGGTTTTCAGTGTTACGATCCTTCATTGGTGTTATATTGGTGCATTTCTGCTTTCCAGACACTTTGATACTATCTGGCCTGAAATGTGATTGTGCATTCTGGACATTGTCATCTCACCTTTGCTCATTTTCCTTGCAATTTGGTATCGGAGCTGGTTGAAAGTAAGGCGGCCCAGGGTCGTGTGGGCGCGCCGGGAAGCTATGTGGTGACATTAGGGGTGTACGCTGGATGGTGAGGGCTCGCTGATGTGGCATTTAAGTCGAGGTGGAACCGCATTCTGCTGTTGGATGTGCCGAGGCAAAGACCAGTCATCATAAATGCACATCAGGTTGCCAGTGAGAAATATGTGGTTGGGGGCAGCATTATGAGGTATGTTGCCCTCTTCCTTATCTACCCTCTTCGTTTCTTCTTACCGTGAGGAAGTGAGTTCTGTCTTGAGAGTCCTCTCAATGTGAGGTGTCGCGAGCGCTCAACCTTGAGAGTCGACATTCTTCCTGGGCAGCAAGCTGGTGGGAGACGGGTGAAGCCTCTGAAGGGCCATGGACAAAGCACGCGGGTCACGGTCACCATGCCAACCCGCTGGGACTAGTGCACGCATGCTTTGCCGCAAGTCCTGCTGCCGCGCAATAGAGGTCATGCAAGGCATGCCAGCCCCTTGGACAGACGCTTACCAGACCGTCTTTAAATATTTCTGGCGGGGACTCGGTGTTGACGCTGGCTGTGATCGTCGTCCTGTCTGCGACGTTAAATAATTCTTGAGGACCTTGGGGGCTGTCCTTAAACTGCCTCTTGATCAGCCAGATCAAACTGGGTGTAAGGCTCGTTGCATGCAAGGATAAATAAGGTGCAGGAGCTGGCAGGTTCGGCGCAGACTTGGGGCAAAGGGGTGGGCCGGATTGCACACCTTCAGACACGCTGCTCAACCAGATGCCAAGGAGTGTCAACACAAAGTGACTACTCAAGAGGGATACAGGGAAAGGGTTGGATTCAGGTAACTGTTCGCGGTGGCACTAAATAGATAAACTGCCATCCAGCATACATCTCTGCAAGAGATGTTATTTTTGTTTTTGATTATTTAGTTGTTACGGACTTGTCTAACAACTGACAGACAGTCGCAGGTAAGAGTTATATATGCTTTGTTGCATTGCAATCTGTATTACAGTAATCTAAAAATAAATTTAACGTTCCTTGTAGGATCTGACATTAGTTGACACTAAACTACGTAACTGTTTTTGTCCTGGCCGATCGAAATTAGTTGTGTATCATACTCGGTTGTGTGTCATGCTGAGGTAGGATTTAGTGTGGATTCTAATTTATATCACACACACTGTAGCTCATGAGTGATGCAAGCACTAGTGAGGAGGAGTTGTTAGTGGACGACCTTAGGATCACTCGTAGAACTGCTCTCAGTCGACCCTTGACTTTCTTAGAGTGAGGTCCAGGAGACGAGAGGAGACTGCGGAGAGAGGCTAGAGAGAGGGCAGCAGCAAGGAGAGCGAGGGATGCCGCAACCAGCGCCAGGTCTAGGACAATAGCTAGCACAGGTGTAACCATGGCCACCTCCTCCATGTCGCAGGCCTCTATGGAGGCCACTTCGTCAAGAGTAGGTCAAAGTGTTTCCCAGGTTTGTGTTAGCCATATCGTTGGCATGCAAGTCAGCCAACCGGCTCAACTCACCCCGGAGGATTATGAGATCCTCCAAGCAGAAGAACTTCAGGATGAGCTACAACGGCAGTTGGATGAGGCAACAGAGAGAAGAAGAAGAACAATATTGAGAAAAGCGAGACTAGGTAATAGAATACAGGAGTTGTTTCAGTGGCTATGCAGCCACTGCAGCAATCTCCTGTGCCAATGCAGCCCATGCAGTGGATGCCCAAGATACCCTTGCTGAGTCCCAAGCCCTTCTCTAGCGAAAGGAAGAAGGACGAGGACTTGGACACCTGGGTGAGAACTGTGCCTACCTATGGGAGGCACAAGCTCACCAGGCCAGAGCAGGAAGTGATAGTTGCTGCTTCCTTTTTAGAGGGATCGGCAGCACGTTGGTTGAATGGGATAGTACAGCAACAGGGCTACAGTCATGCCCGGGCCCAGGCCAACATTGGAAGACTTCGTACGGTCCGTGTATAATAGGTGGCATGACCCTCAAGGGCCTCAAAAGGTCACCGACCCGATCAACAATCTTTGTGCCAAAAGGTACACGAATGTTCACGAGATCACGGATACCGTAGAACGTCTGCTCATGATACCTGGTGTGCGCTTCGATCAGCAGGTACTCCTCACGGATTACTTTAGATGTCTGCCTTCAGAGGTTAGGACTAAGCTGATGGATGAGGTCTATGTCGACCAACACAACTTTGCTTCTTTCAGCAAGAAGGCCTTAGATATAAAGACAAAGCTTGGGTCCGCACATCAAAGTCAGGGAGATGGTAAGAGGAAGAAACTTCCCCAAGACTAGAAGAAGAAGGGTCAGCTCAGACGACAAAAATTGACGACTTCTCATACCTTGGGGATGAGACAGAGTATGATGGGGCCAATGAGACTTCGGATGGGGGAGTCGTGGCCCCTATCAAAGAAAAGGCTAGAGGGACCGAGAAGAAGAAGGTAGTCCGGTCTACGGGTCAGGGCGACCAAGGAACACACGCATGGGTAAGACTTGGTTTAGATTACGAGGTATGGAGGGACCGAGTTGCCAGGGGCACGTGCATGAATTGTGGCAACTACGGCCACACGTCTAGAACGTGTCGAGGTAAGAAGGTCACTACAAAGGTAGCCTCACCAACGGTCGTGGGCTTATCTTTGGACCCTGGCAGTGCTTCTGCGAGCACTTCGCAGGGAAACACCTCGGGCCAGTAGGAGTGTAAGCCGCTCTTACTCCTGCTGAAGTGGTAATGTTGCCCTCCCCACTTCAGGCGTTG